CCAATTGAAAAATGTAAGCTTTGTATTCGGTTGTTTTAATGTTTTTGCACGCAAAATAAGGTACCACAAAAAGCATCGGAATGAGCTGAGCGATATCGGAAAATAAAGCTCTTTCATTCGTGATTCGAACATTATAAAAATAATAAAACCATTTGGAAACTTTTGATTTTTCGTCTAATTTCGAGCGAGGCAAGCGAGCGAGCAAGCTTATTTATGCTTTTTAGGCCCTTTGCAATAGCTTAATTATGCTTACTTTTAGTTATACTCGAGGATAATTAGTAGTTTTTTTGGTCTTTTATTAACGCCCTTTTGCGAATCAGAAACAAAAATTTTCTGTAAAAAAAATTTTTTTTTAAATTGTTTTAATTGTTTTCTAGTAATTTTTCTTCAAAAACTGTTGTCCAGTTTGCTTGTTTTACTATGACCGTCGAATAAATTGTCGAAAACTAAAGTGTAGTTTTTTGTTCACTCCTTGTAAGAAACCACGCAGAAAAAACGACAATTTGAAAGAAAAAAGTTTGTTTTTTAAGACTATGGTCGGAACAATCTGTCCTACAAGCACAGTTACCGCCTATCCATGTTTTGCTTTTGTGGTGGGTGAGGGGGTACTAACACAATGCCGTTTGAGGCTTTGGAATGTTAAACTTCTATTCCATGGGAGAATTTCTCCCATTAAAATTTACTGCTATTTGAGAAAAATATTCATTCAACTTTCCACTTTTGCAATTTCGACTTTTGCTTCTGTAACCAACACATGGATGTTAATAACTTCGCCCGGTCACCTGTCTCCGTCACATACAACGCTGTAGTTGATTTTGAATAAATACTTCTTGATTTCTTAGTTATTTACATAATTAATTCAGTATTATTAATTATCGCAACGTATTTCTAGGGGAATTTGATCATTATAACAAAAAAACATCTGAAAATTTTTTGCGGCTCTAAGACGTTCAGTTGATAGTAGTTTATCAATTCACTATGAAATGATCCAAGCAAGATCATGGGCTTTGGGCGAGTCTGGTGGGAGAGAAGCTTAGAAGTTCAAATTCATTGACTTGCACTGAATCAAGGTAGAGTTAAATAGTAGCATTTGCTTTCAGTGGATCTAAATAATTATCAACACAGATAATTACTCTTGGCTTAGCATGTTTGTTAAGCTCTTCAGTAGATAAATGTGCTACCTCTTAAGAGAGATAAATGTGCCACCCTAACTATTAATTCTGATATTAACTTTCGTTGATTTCGCAATTTGGCTTAAGTTTAATTTCTTGATTTTTACATTGTACAAATACTCCTCTCCCGAGTGTTGGTTGCACTTTTGCAGCAAAGTTATACCCTGAAAACGTAACGAATAAGGTACGCTATCACTTTTATTTACCCATACTTTAGTTACAGCTGCTACTGCGGGCGGTGACTCATGACTTATAAACAAGCGCTTCTGGTTCTTCACTAGGTTTTTCTATGCTCTAGCTCTTAAGTGAAGCACGTTAATACAAGATAAAAAAACTTTCAACACAGAGGCGAAGTTGCACTTTCATGCACCAGCTAAAATATGACCGATAACGCTACTTGGAAAAACTGAATGAGTAAAACTTTGAGTCTACAAAATTTCTTAAGTGACGCACGCCAATTATGAGGCATTAGCAGTACCAGTCAATTTGCAAAATTTGCGAACTAATATGCCTCATATTATAGAGCAGTCTATGGAGCAGTAATAACATGAAAAAATTAAATAAAATAAAAATGAAATGATAATTTTTTAATTTGGAACTTTTTGTGAAAATTATCTCCACACACGCCATAATAAGTACAAAGTGAGAAGTTTCGCTCCTAATAACAAATCAATTATGGCAAACAAGCTTCGTTCAACCAATTTGGAACGATTTATCAGACGGATTAAATCTCCGCTTACGCGTTAATAGCGCGAATTATATCGCGCGTTAATTGTCCCAAATTGGTCAAAGTGGCCAAAATGGCAATCTTTAAACCCTCATAACTTTACGAAAAATGATCACAGGTGAAATATCTTTTCAAATTTAAGCTCAGGACAACAATACCTTTTGAATGATATAAAAAAATTCCGTCAAAAATGGCTAGTTAAAAAGTCGAAATTTGTCTGAAGAAAAAAAAACCCACCCCGAGCACAAATATTCCGTTACTTTCGTACCGAAAGTCGGAACAATAAATAACACTCTTTTTTCCTATTAAAGCGTTAGCGGTTAAATAAATCATTCCAACTTAAGCCATTGATATGCTCTTTTTTACCAGATGCAAATAGAACACTCTGAACTTCAAATTCCGTGTGGATTGATAAAAATGAAAAAAAAAAGGTTGTTATGGCTTTTGGTTTTAGTTCAATTTTATTTTTCTTCAACGACAGCTCGGAACAATCAAGTTTAGGTATTCTTGTTAAGTTTGCGGTTAACAAAAGTCTCCAAAAACGATTCTCGTAGGTAATATTTCAATAGTCGTCTTAACATTTACAAAGCTTTAGGCTAAAGTTTTGTTGCTCACTGAACAGATCGTTGACTTATGAAGTATTATTACCTTTTCATAGAGACTCGTGTAACTGTCCTTTGAATAAATTATTAAAGAGTGGAGTTAGTGCTCTTTCCTGTCTTGGAAACAATTTTTCGAGATTTTTTGCAAAAGCATTGATTCAATAATAAAGTACTGTGACTTTAAATTCAGCTGACACCTTATAAACAAACAGTCTTCCGGCAACGACTTTAAAAAAATTAATCCAAACATTTTTCCATTAACACCAACTCGAAACAATACGGTAGGATTGCGAGTTACAAAAGTCTCCAAAAACGATTCTCGTAGGTAATATTTCAATAGTCGTCTTAACATTTACAAAGCTTTAGGCTAAAGTTTTGTTGCTCACTGAACAGATCGTTGACTTATGAAGTATTATTACCTTTTCATAGAGACTCGTGTAACTGTCCTTTGAATAAATTATTAAAGAGTGGAGTTAGTGCTCTTTCCTGTCTTGGAAACAATTTTTTGAGATTTTTTGCAAAAGCATTGATTCAATAATAAAGTACTGTGACTTTAAACTCAGCTGACACCTTATAAACAAACAGCCTTCCGGCAACGACTTTAAAAAAATTAATCCAAACATTTTTCCATTAACACCAACTCGAAACAATACGTTAGGATTGCGAGTTACAAAAGTCTCCAAAAACGATTCTCTTTGGTAATATTTCACTGTAGCTGGTTATTGATTAAAATTTGGCAATTAATTAATTAACATCAACTCGTTCACATTTCATGTCTCTTCCGCCTTTTAATAGTCCTTCTAGAGTCCCCTTTCCAAACTTTTGACAATTATATATCCCCGCACAACTGATACCCGAGCAACTTAAATCAAACAGAAAGCAAAAATTTAAGTTACACGGTTGCTATAAAAATAACAGAGTTGCTATGAAAATTCGACCACATTAATAAGAACGCTAGTGAATAAGGCATTATTGCCTACAAACAAATAAAAAACCATAAGAAAAAGTTTCCAAATTTTTGCATGCTATTTTTTGGTTTTTTAATTTAATTGCTACGAAAGTACTTAAGGAATTTTGCAAAAATTTTCCTGTAGTAAAAAAAACAAAATTTTTACGCAGGAAATTTACAAAAAAAATAAATTTAGCGAACTAACCACTCTTTATACATGATATTTGAATTTTCCTACTTGGATGCGTTATTTGTTCTTAGATATCAGGCAGCACCAAGCAGTATTTAAGTCGACAATAAATGAATAGTCGCCCGTTGAAACGAAAACAAATCTATAAGACCAAAAAAAAATGAGCTATGAAGTTTTGAAACTTTCTACCCTTCTCTCTTGAAGCAAAACTAAGCATAAAATTATAACCTTGTCCATCGATCAACGCAAAAGGAAGCCAATTACGCTCAATAAATTTAAGCCAAAAATATATTTTATCCGAAAACAAACATAGCTGGTAAACAAAATCAGAGCTGTTAAACTTATAAATTACAGCAAGAAATCAAAACTACTTTCAATTATAGTAAGAATTGTTTGAATCAGAAGAAAAATCTATACTTAAGGCCAAAAAGAAACAGTTCTGTTTACTTTCTCCAGCAAAAAAAGGCTATTCGCAAAAAGAACGTCTTCGGAGTACAATCGAATCCAGGACCTTCATTAAGCCAAGCATGGTCGTTAACTCTATGATAAACGAGTAAAAATGAGTGGCTGACCTTTGATATAAAACAGTCCATATCGAAAAAATACAAAATGTTTTCAAATAGTCAAAACAACGCTGTAACACGCCCATCAAGTCGAAAAAGGGACTTTGTTAAGCTCACCAAAAACGTTTCAGCAGAATTTTAAACCTAAAATGTATAGACCCCAACTTTTTTGTAAGAAAATAGTAACCCAAAAAATAAAGTTTTTAAATTTGGAGCTAACGTATAAGAAAAATTTAAAACAAAACGGAAGCCCAAAATTTCAGTTTTAAGATAGCCGTTTTCGAAACAAGTCAAAAAGTTTCAAAAAACGGTAACAAAATAAAAATATGACTTGTCCGAGGGCGATAACTTATTTTAAAAAGTTTGGGTTTATCTGCTAGTGCAAGAAAGCTTCCCACAGCTAGGTCTCTCCACTGAACCCAAAATCTCAGACTTGGGAGGGTAGTTTTACGGAGAGCCATAACTTGACTTTACAGAGAGCCAAAACTTTAAATGGGAAAAACCCAAGACCTAGCCATTTGTGCAGTGGAGCTTTACACAGCCTGTTTTTTCGATCTGCGACAAGTTCTTTAAGCAGTCAAAAAAATAGAATTATAAAAACAAAGATGCACTACGATTGTGCTACTATGTTTGACAATTTAGGTACTGATTTTTAGAGACTCTCGTTTCCTTTCTACTTTTCGATGAAAAACACGAAACCTTAAAATGCCGCTCAGAAAATTCGAATCATATTCAAGTTAGCAAACCAGTCAAGAAAAGAAGTTTTGAGAATATGACCATGAAGACAAAAAACTTACCATAGGCCGAATATCCTTCCGTTTAGTCGATGAAACAAACAATAAAACTCTTATACTTGCTTGGATTCAAAATATCAAATTAGTCATTAGATTCGTAAAAGTATTGTTCAGAAATCAAAAGCTCAATGTTCATTGTTGAAGAAAAAACAAATCATCTGAACAAATCCATTTTCAAAGTTGAATGCAGCCCAGCTCGTGGCTTAGGTTCGCTTGGTCAATCAACTGTCATTTTAAACAAAACTAAGTATGTAACAAGATAGCAGGAATATCAGAGTAGCAGAAAAGTAAATTTGGTTTCGCGGCTGTTTACAAATTGCACAATAATAAGCTAATTTGTAATCCCAATTTTTTGTTCATGCTTTGTCCACTAAACTGAGTTGAACTTTAAACTAAATTGCAACAAATTTTGGGATGTATATCTACGTCAGCTATTTTGTAATGAGTTGATTTTGTATTGGACCAACATTTTCATCAGTAGACAAGAGTCGCTAAGTCTGGTGAATCGCTTCGAAGCACTGAACATAGATCTACCACATGCTAGATAGAGCTTATACCAAATTAAACAAAAAGAGCAGCCGGTTGCTGTGCAAGTACCACAGAAACTTCGACCATATTCAATTTTAAAAAACTACTTTTGTGCGTGGTGTGATGAAAGTAAAGGCAAAAGCTCAAAATGTTAGTAAATAAATTATGATTGCCTATAATTGTTTTCATGAAATGACCCACAAAAAAAACATTGACAGGACGACAGAGTTCCTCTCTACTTTTTGTGGTCTGAACTATAATTAACTCAATTTATACCCATTAGTTTCACTGATGCTCTAATCTTTGACTTGTGAAGTAGTTGAGATGAATCAAAGCGCATTAATAGTCAGACATTCAACTAAAACACAACCCGAAGAAAATGAAAAATAGTACCAATAACCTGCACCAGTTTTGACTTTGATTAACTTTATTGTTCTCGTAGTTGTTCGTAACTCGAGCTTCGACGCAATTGTGTCCCTTCGCTTGCAGATTGTTGTTCTTGCTGTCTCTTGAAGTGCTTTGTTTTTAAGGTTTGATGCGTTAGTTGAATAATACTGCTCAAAGATGGCCTTTTCGCGGTTACAATTTGCTTGTTTTTTTATAAAATCTATTTCTGTCATCTCTTAAAAGTTCTACACAGCAGCAAACGCCCAGAACCCTCTAAATAGAAGTGGCCTTATATTTCAGTAAATTAAAAGCCCTGTGCTTCTTGTTTCGACGCCCGTTTTGTAATTTAACAAATTCACTAACCGGTGATTTCAGTCGTAGCTGAGCTATGATGGTGGTGTCTGTTTTCCGCTTTTTCCGTTATCTGCAAAAACCCCTCATATTGAAACGGTTTAGAAGTGCCAAAATCCAAGTTTGAAAATTCCTTCAAATTCCCTCTTCGAAAGAGTGAGTGCGACATTCTCTGTTGGTTCGCCGGCTTTCGTTTAAGGATTTCAATTCAGTTCTCCGACCAAGAAGACAGATCTCCCAATATTCGATCCTCAAACATCAAGACGAAATCTGTGATGCTAGATCTGACGCGTTTAATCCGCTGCACGTCCACAATAGATGCTTCACACGGTTCATTTAGCTTCTCAACCTAAACATATACGAAATATTTGACCATTTCAAATACGACAGCAATATTAACATTTGTGGCCCAAACTTTTAAGTTTCTTTGTAAAATAAAAAGTAAAGCGAGACTACATTTTAAAATATTTATTCCCCATGGTTGATATATGGCCTATCTTAAATCACATAAATTCCAATAAACAGAGGTATAACACTCAGAGAGGTTAATACATTACTCTTCAGATTGCCGGCTTTCTGTTTTTTTTTTCGGTTTACATCATATTACGAACTGAACTTTTACTGACCTTCGGTTTTACAGGATAGAATTTAGTTGAAGCTTCAGGAAGCACAGAAACTTACTCCATTTGCGCTTTTTATCAGCGATTAATCATTTTTGATCGTGGCAATCTAAGTCAAGTCAGAACATCGGTTTGCTGAAAGTTTTTCTTAACTTATCTTGCAATGAAAACTACCGTATTTGCTAAAGATAATGTTGTGGCTGCCTTCAAGCACATACTTTTCAAAATCGCTTTACACTGACAAACTATTCCGAAAAAAAAACAAGGATAGCCGGTTGGTGAAACTTTTCTCTTCAAGTTAATGTCTTTGTTGTACGTCTTGTGATGACAAAACTATAAGAACCCGTAGAAATTTAGTAAATTAGGCATAAACGAATCCAATGGTCTTCGAAAACTAATTAAATTTTTTAAATGAAAAAAAAAAATCGAAAAACTTTTTAAATATTTTAAATATTTTCGAAGAACTTTTTTTTTGCCAGAGAAGAGCTAAATAAAGCTTCCAAAACTAGTTTTCGTTTTCAGTAAAATCAACTTTGTTAGCCTAATTTTCTAATTTTCATATATAACAAACGTTACTCGATCGCTTTACTTGCTCAAAAATAGACGAAAATTCAAAAATTTCAAACCGGTTTTTCTCGACACCAGAAAAAAAAATTGGAAATTTCTTTGTCGTTCAAATCATGACCAGAAGGGGTTAATTATGATATATCACTCGACCCGATGATTATTTGTGTTATTTTGTGGAACAGTAACAAAATCAGAACAACTTTGAGCTAAATTCTGATCAAACCGACGCAACACATCCGGCCTTTAGCGCAAAACTTTTCAATAAAATGGCAAATAAAGTCCAACAATAAAATTGCAAACACTTATGCATCGAAAAAGAAATCTACGGATTTTGAAATTCAGAAGAGGTGCAACGAATCCCTTGACGAATCTTGCATAAAGAGGAAACCGAATTCTTTCACGCATTTCTTTATGCAAACAAACACGTCCTAGGAAATTTAGCAAAAAAACTTTTTTCGTTTATCATCCACACACGACCTGCTGAGACTTAACAAAAGTCGCATCCTACGCAATTATGATTCGCTGAGAATCATTTAGCCGACCGAAAACAACCCGATTAAGGCGAGGGTTCAAAATATCGAACAAGGCGAGGGAACAAAATTCAAAATACCGAACAATGCGAGGGTTCAAAATTCATATCCGAAAAAGGCGAGGGAACAACTCGAAAGCCTGCGAGGGTTCAAAAAACTTAAATTCGGTTGAAACGTTTGAGATTTTGAATCTTTTTTAGACCGCGACACAGCCCATGGCAGTCAGTTTTAAAGCTTCTTTAATTGTAACTTTTCGTGGTCCGTTCTCAATGTCGCAGTCCATACTTTGCAGAAAAGTAACAACAATCAAGGTGGTCAAAATTTATTCGGCCAAAGTTAAAATACATTACGTTACCAAAAACACTCAGACTGCCTAAGAAGGCATGTTTTTTGATAAAACATCCAATCGAAGAGGAACAATTTTTTTCCAGGAAAATGAACTAATAGCCGACAGTAGCAACTCTTGACTTGATAACCAAATTAACTCTAGTAGGTATAGATTCATTAAGTTCTTTTCACCAATTCAGAAGTGACAGCTTTCTTGCCCTTCAGGATGCTTTCTTCTAAGTTCTCCTTCGTGAGATTCATACCACGCATTCGCCTTATCATGAGCGCCCTGGCATATTCTATGATGTTCAGATATTGACTATATGGGGCCATTCGATGGTTCTAGATATCTTAACTAATTTCTGCTCGATCAACTGGGCAGTTGTCGTCTATCAGTTTCCATCCAAAATTTGTGTATTCTTTGATTAATTTTAGAACCATTACATCCATATGACTTTTCGCATTATAAGGTAAAGGCCATTTATTTGACAAGCCGAAGTTCCCATCGGCTGTGATAAACCCCTAATACATAACTAAAAAACGCGACGCATTTTTAAACACGGTGCACTGCCGTTTTTATACCGCTCACTACGCTCTCACTATACTCGGATAAGTCCGTCCAACTTGAGAGCAAATCTTATATAATCAGAGAACATATCAATCTAAGGTAAATTAAGGGTTATTAGCCTAGACAGGGCATTTTCGCAATCTGTAGGCACTATTCTTCTTTACCAAGTTTAACTTGAGAGCAGCGGAACTATTCAAAATTCCATTTCTCTAGAGAATAGGCCTCATGGTCGTCGAAGAAATAATTTTAGTGCGAAAAGAATTGAATTCTGCCAGCAGTGATCTGATGACTGATCTCTTCCTATCCCGCTTCTTCAAGTTTCTCAGCAGCAGTTTTTTTGTTTCCGTCAATTTTCGTCTGGTCTCCGCATTTTGATAACCCGCTGAATGTGGGATCTTTCAAGTAAGCTTGGTAAAAGCTGCATACTTTAAGTAAGCTCACTTCCAATTTTTTGCCATTTTTTCAATGGTAAACTTGTTACATTTACTCATTCAGCTAATAACACTTATAACAAAAACTGATAATGTGCTTACGCGTGAAAAAGCTAAAAGAATTTTCCGTTGAACGATCTTTAGTGGGCCGCATAAGTAGGTGAAACGTTTTAAGGAAAGCAAAATCAATTTAAGATACACTAGTGGACAAAATTAAACGCATACTCAGGTTGGTTCTATGTAAAATGCCTCTTCTCAATGTTCACTTTGGACCTCATTTCCTTCAAAACACAGTAAATATTTTTACATAGACATAGAGCAAATCATCAGAGCTAACATCTATGAAAAAACCAATATTTGGTTTCAAAAAGTTACCAATGTAATCCGGGTCTGAAAACGCCAGATTTCTTCATCTGCACTAAGGTTTGCATCGTAGCGAACACTTTCTTGAATAAGTGAAGTAAAACAGTTATTCATGCGATGTGCCACATTCTCAGCGAGAAAACTGAAAAATCAGTTTGGAAATTTTACTTAACTCGGCTGTTTGTTACTTTTCATGCGAACTCTGGCTTTTTCAGACCCGGATTACATTGGTAACCACCATTGATATTTTCATGGATGGTAGCTCTTGAGTTTTGCTCTTGGTCTATGTAAAAACTTAACTGAATTTCGAAGAATTTTGGTCTAGAATGGACATTTCAAAGAGGCATTTTAGAGAGTAAAATCATGAATTTACACTTAATTTTGTACACTAGTTTACTTTTAATTGAATTTTTTTTGATAAATCTGGTGTCTGATAAATTTTTTGATACCGTAGTGTAATTGATTGACTGCAAACACGAAAATTATTGGAGCAAAGGCGACAGAATCCAATTTTTTTATAATAATGCATCAGTTCCAATGAATAGTGTTTTTTCAGCATTAACCAATCAAATTCGTAGAAACCATAAGAAGATCCGATTGGCTATACGCATAAAACCGAAAGTCATATTGAGACTGCAATGAGATTTACCCTACAATGGCCGGCCTGGCGCTAGGCGAGCACTTCGGTGCTTCGCGCCAATAACAGCAAAATGTTTTCATAAACAGTTCTTGTCTATTCTGGCGAGACGGCAGCACGTATCAGCCTAATAGTATTGTCTGCTTCTTTCTTAATCTGCCAATATTGAAATGAAAGCTTAATTTCCACAATTTCTCGGGTTGCTGCATTTAATAGTTCGACAGACTAAAGTCAAATCTCATTTAAAGGATACTAGCGTCTAACGCACCTCCGGTGCTTCGAATTTTTAACAACTCATAAAAAACCGCATATATTGAAAATAAGATTTGCATCCTTTGAGTGTAAACTGACAGCACCCAATTACAGGGTTCGTAATTACAAACTTTGCTAAATTTTTTATTCAAGATTTTTTTAAATAAATTTTGAAAAACCTTAAAATTTTGTGACGTTTTATATAGCTTTTTTGAAAAAATCTGAAGAGAACTGCAAAACGTCACATCTAGGAAACTAAAAGCAATTGAGCAGTCGCATTGGAACGCAAGATTTTCAACTCCTGAGAGTACTCTTACAGTACCCAACTACAACGTTGAGAAACTCAAGTTTTGAGAAACTTCAAACTTAAGTTTTCTTAAAAAAGATACTTTTTTGAAAACCAGAAAAAACGTCACATCTCAAAAACTACCAAGATTTGAGCAGTCTTATATGAAGGTAAAATTCGCAATCCTTCACAGTACGCTGACAGCACACAACTACAGGGTTGCGAATTTCACGTTTGTGAATTATTTTGTAATTTTAGTTTTCAGAAAATTTCGGGAAAACTCACAAAAATGGTCTTATCTCTTTAACTAAATTGAGATTACTCTGACAGCCTCCACCTACAGGGTAGGAATTTCAAATTTTGAAAATAAATTTAATTTTCATGAAAATCTATTGAAAAAATCACAAAAAACGTCATATTTTGAAAACCACAAGATTTCGAGCATTCAAATTTGGAGACAAAAATCGCAAGACCTGAGAGTACCCTGACACAGCCTCATTACAAGGATAGTAATTTCAAATTTTGTGAAACTTTTTATATCTAAATTCTGAAAAAATTAGAGAAAAATCCTAAAAACCGTCATATCTCGAAAACTACAAGGAATTGAGCAGTCATATTTGGAGGAAAAATTCGCAACTTTTAAGAGTATCCTGACAGAGCCTCACTACAGAGATGGGAACTTCAAATTTTGTGACAATTTTCATAACTAAGTTCTCTGAAAAATTTTGAAAAAAGTCCTCAAAAAAACGTCATATCTCGAAAACTACAAGGATTTGAGCAGTCATATTTGGAGGCAAGATTGGCATTGCCTGAGAGTTCCGTTCCCTCACAATTTTCAACAACAGTATTGAGATCTTCAAAGTTTTGGAATTTTTTAAAATCTATTTCGAAAATTTTTGAAAAAATCATAAAAAACGTCACATCTCGAAAACTAAAGGCACTTGAGCAGTCATATTTGGAGGCGAAGATTGCAACCCCTGAGAGTTCCCTCACAATTTCTAACTACAGGATTGAGAGCTTCAAAGTTTTGGAATTTTTTTAAAAACTGAGTTTTTTTTGAAAATTGTTTAGAAAATCATGAAAAACGTCATATCTCAAAAACTACAAGGATTTGAGAGATGAGATTTGGAGGCAAGATTGGCAACCCCTGAGAGTACCCTGACAGTACCCAACTACAGGTAAAAAATTCAAAAACTTGAAAAAAAGTTTAAAATCAAATTTTTTAGAAGTTTTTGAAAAATCTCGAAAATTGCCTGTCGTAAACTAAAAGGATTTAGTTATTCATATATTGAGGCCAAAATCGCAAAAGCTGGAAAACTCTGATAGCATGCCACTATTGGGTTCCTAATTTCAAACTTGGTGAAAAAAACACTAAACTCACACAGGAAAATCAAAAAAAATCTGAACCATTGCAATTTACGATATAGCTTAGACGTGCAAAATTTCTTTCGTTAAACATGCAAAAATAAAACTTTGAAAAAGCTTAAACATAGAGAGATAGTGAAGCCGCATTTAAATATATAATAGATATGGAAAAAAAAGGTGCACTAAGCATAAGTTTAATCGAACTAACTTATCTGACAGAGTACAATTTAGTTGGCCTTTCCGAGTGACAGGAAAATTTGAACTCTACGCAGAAAAGAAATTTGACTTTCACGACATGGCTGAAGTGTTTTCATGTAAAACTACAAAGCGTTTTATCACACTTTTTTCGAAACAGCAGTTGCTTTGAGATTGCTTAGTTTTTTGAAATCCCAATCCTGGGTAGCTTTTAAGCGGTTGCTTTCAAGGTAACCTATATTTAATCAATTTTACAAGCTAATAACTTTCTAAATTTCGTCCCCTAGCAATTGAAAACTTTGATGGGTAGTTTTCATATACTTATCCAGTATTCCATTTTTTCGATATATTGATTAATGGCATGATTTTTTATGTTTTGTATGATTTTTTGTTTTCGGTGAGCAGATGAAAATTTTTCAGCAAACAAATTTTCGTAATGAGTAATTCTGCAGGAAGTATGTTGTTTTTCGACAGTATTTTACGACATCTTTTAAACTATTTACTGATGAAGCAAACTATGGCGCCCCAGTTTATATGGCGATTGAAACGATCGACAACTTTCTGTTGTAGACTGCTGAAAAATAATCCACTATAACTAAGAAGGGACAAAACTGAAGAATCATTAAAATAAAACGCTCTATAATAACAATTTAAGACGTAGGATTTATATTGCCTTAATCACGAAGCCATTTTCCTTAGGCAATTCTTAATTCTGTTTACAAAAGCATATTTAGCGCCAAGATACCGTGCTCAATCTTTGTTTTTCAGTTTTTCTTCATTTTCAAAAAAACGCTATGCCGAATGATTGAGTTTTTGTCCGTCCTGATTATATCTGTTTTGTCTGCATTAATCACGAATTCGTTTTCCGATAAATATAACGATAGACTTTTTTGAATGTTAAATTTCAAAATAGGTTAGTCAACTTTGTAAATTACTTTCTAGTAAATTTTCTATTTGCAAAGACCAATTTTAGGTAACGACCATTTTGAAGCCATAGCTCTGTAGTAGTTCACATACTAGAGCCTAGCAACTCAAATACTTGATGCTGACATTTTACACCCAGGATTAAAGTTTTTGTAGCTGAATTTCTCTAATGTATTAATTCAGGCCTGTAAATTTCATAGTTTCAAGATAGATTGACTTGATTACATTATCGTCGATTACCGCAGAATCAGGGATGGTCATCGGACCGAGTTCATCCTCGGGAACGCTTCAACTTTTTAGTCAAATTTCATGAAATTCTATCAATTTTATTAAGCCGGCATCAATACAGGACCAACATAGCATCGCCCAAAACCGGTCCCCAAAGTCGCATAGACTTCAGAATAAACTTCTCTGTTTTTAAATACTTTAGTACTTACAATAATGCTATCTGTTTTGCAACCAATGTAGTATTTCTTGCTAGGCCAAATAAAAAATATATAATTAATGGAATAATCAAAATTCGCAATGAATGTTTCCTTATTTCGCCTGACCCAAAATATTTTGCGACATTCAGAATTTTATTCAAAAATAAAAATCAAGTTTACAGACAAGTATCACAGGTGTATTCAAATTTTATAGCAAAACGCAAACTGAATTATAAATAAAAACAATAAGAACTTCCGAAGTTTAAGCTTCTAACATTTATTTTTTTTGCAGCCCAAGATTTATAAGTGTGTTAGATTAAGACGCAGCCCTTCTGAAGATAAATAACTGGATTACGAATCATGACGTGATTTAGGTCACAGAGATGAAAACTGGATTTTACGTTTTATACATGTTTCAGATGGGCCACCATAATTGACAAATGAATTAGCATCGTTACAATTTTATGACGCACTTTATGGCAAGTGTTATTAAAAACACGGAGACTCGTTTTTACTCGGAGGAACATTTAAATGAACATTTTCAGTTTATTTTGGTGTCAGTTTTACTTCTTTTCTACTATTTCTGACCTCTAACGCGGTTGACGCAATATTGCAATCGATGTAAGATCGTAATCAAGGTGACAGTTCAGTAACTGGTTGTATCAGCAAACCGAAAGCGGGCGGATCAGACCAGTAAGCCGAACGAAATTCCACAATTATTGCATCGTTCAATTATGTCTTTCTCAAAAAAAAAGTTGAACAAAAATTGAAATAAATTGATGCTTTTCACGAGCCGCGCGTTATTTAGCTTTTCATTTTAGCTCAGGAAAAATATCTCTAATATGCCGTAATTCGATTTACTGATCTGGTAAATTTCTGATACACTAGGTTACTGAACTCATCCCTTTATCAATTAGGTCATTTTATACAAACTTTTGCCGTTATACGCGACATTTAAAGTTATCTTCGGCAATCAGAAAAGGTCTGATCTGTTTAAATAGATCTAGGTGAGATCAGGTCAGTTTTGGGCTAGTGGTCTAAGCGGGTCAGCTTTTGATTTTCATTTTGTTGGCGCTCAATCAATAGGGCGTATAACGCGCGCTGGATCCACCGGAACCTGAAGTATCAAAATTGTTTTATTTACTTTTAAGCAGAAGAAACAATTAAAACGGCTCAGAAATAAGATCAACGTATATTTGTGTTACCGGAAGAATAGCGCCATTTATAGTTTGCTGATTTAGCGAAAAACTTCACAGTCCTAGTTTTATAATTCACAGTTATCTGATTCATTATGGGGGGGGGGGGGGGGGGGGGGCTACTCTCATGCGCAAAGGACTAAAAACGCGAAAACTTTCAACCAATCAATGCCGTCCCTTTAAATTACGCAAAGCTGACAATAATTTGGCTTATTTTCTTTGAATTTATGAAAAATGAAGTCTGATTACGAAAAATTCGGCGCATTCGGCGCTTCGAACATGAAGGACTTTCCCGTCTCATTAGAAATCTAACTAAAAATTTCCATTACGTACGTTTAATGTTTATCTATTTAGAGCCAAAAAACTATCAAATTTCTCTTAATTGGATCTTCAGGTAGGCTCTCTTTCCTTTTCCCCCATAAGCGAATTTTCACTAGTAATTTCTCAGTTTTCATTGTCAGATTTTTACAAAATTTGACATGCGGACTAATTAGGCAATGACAAACATATTTCGTCTTCACATTTAACCTTGTAAAACCCCTCGTTACCCCAGAAAATTAATGCTTATGTGAGGGGGAGGGCGTGGGGGAGGAAGAGTCTTCACGTATTTTACAATTTATATTTTTGGCAAGCAATATTTCTCTTATTTCAGAACGCTGATGCTATAAATCGTTGTGGAGTAATTCTTAGTGTCTTCTACGCTATTACTCAAAGCTATTGCTTAACTGAAGAGTCGGACGTAAATATGCGGAATAAATTAGCTGTGCACGATTCAACACTTTTCCGAGCTTTACTTTTAAACAACTTCAAATAGAGGACAAAAAGCGAAACTTGCAACATAGTCAGGATGAGGTGACTCACACGAGTTAGACCGCTGACGCAACAACACAAAATCACGTTTTTCCTGGTTCGCTTCAAGCCTTCGAAGAGTCAGAAAACAATCCCAGCCAACAAAAACTCAATTAACTTTAAATACATCAATCTAAACCTCTGAATTCTAAAAATCGGATCTCTTAAACTATTTCACCCTTGTGCAAAGTGGGGAGGGTAGAGAGATTTATTACTCAAATCTTCTTAACCATTGTATTTTTTCTTTAAAGAGGTGGCAAATCGCTAGAGGTACCCTAGGGGGGATAGTTAAAGAGATTCCCAGTAATTTTTCTGATTGCCATTTTTTTCAAACTAACCCAAATATCATCTTTCATCATTTCCGCCATTAGCACTTTTGTTGCCGACCAGCTACTCGTTCAAATTTGAAGTGAACTTAAGAAATCAAAACTGAAACTTTGCCCTTTTAGTATTTTTTCAACATAAAAGTTCACAACTTTGGCGTAGGATCTGTTTTTTTTTTCAGCTGATTTCGAAAACGTCAACGAAAACTCTTATGGGGGGTAGAGTGCGCTATCATATTGAGGTCTTTCCAGTCGTAATTTGAAATCTTAAAGCTTTTCAAGAATTAAGTGTTGAGAAAAACTTGTCTGAGTTTTTTTTACTGAACTAGAGAAACGCGGACAGGAATTTGATTAGAGGCTGACCTCCACTTTATTTCTTTAACAACCTTACCGTTATATAACTTAACAACTACTACTCATTCGTGCTTTTTTCACCTAATTCAATCTCTATTTCTAAATTAAAAAAAAACTGAACTATCTTTTTTAAATACTGCAGCTTTTTGGAATTTTCGAAATTTTGTTTTAAGTTTGTTTCATTATTTTCGATTTTGTCAACCACTGTGGTCGGATCATTTTATGCTAATTACGCAGCAACCGACTTTGCTTGCTTTCATTACATTTTACTTTATTTACGGCACTGCGAAACCTTAGAAGGTTTGTCATAATAGATTATTTATAAGATGATGTTTTACGTTTGAACATCATTTTAACCCTCAATTTTCGGCGTAACAATTTTGATATCAATTGTTTTACAATTTAGGGTCTTTTCAGTTTGAGAAAACTATCAAAAGGTATGTTTGTTATTCCACTGGCCAATCTGAAAAGTAAAATCCACTTTCGCGACGAAGTCGATCACATTTTTGTGACCTTTACGAAATGCTATTAATAAAATCCGTTACAACCTTCAGTTTTGCTATTTGATCGTGGAGTTTGCCTTTTCTCGACACATGAAATGAATGGTAGGGCGACAATTCGTAATAGGCAACAATTCGTGATAGACGACAATTCGTAACAAGCGACAATTCTTAACAAGCATTGTCAAGTAGAATACGCTTGCTCCGCTTCGCACCGCTGCGCTTACATCCGGTACGAAAAGAATACTGCGCATGAATCAGTGTTCCCCGCTTAACCTACTGTTACGAATTGTCGCTTGTTATGAATTTCGCCAGTTACGAATTGTCGCCTCACGGAAATGAACTGAACTTAAAAAGAAATCAAAGCTCCAACCGCGAAAAATCTAACTGGAGCGTGACTAATGCTCAGACTTTCTCAAATTCTCAAGAAAAAGAAAAACAAACATCACTACTTATATAAGAGTCTTCACTATGTTCATTAACTCTTAAAAAAAAACAATTTCCAATTATCATCAATTGGTGGTGTGGGAGGTATGACCAATTGTATTTTTTCGACCATTTGTTTGATAAGTATTTCATATATTTTATTTTGAATTGCTTGATTCGAAACTCGAATATTTTATGAACTGGCACGCAGCTAGGAATTGGCAAAGACGAGTGATACAATACCAGCGAATCATTGAATTTGGTTAAGTTAAATTGCCTATCTTTTAATTATTTACTAATCGCAAGCTTAATGATCTTAGTTTGGCTATTTATATTCCTGAAAACTTACTTTTTTAGCAAAAATCAAACGTACTTGCTCATTTCATAGACAATCAGGTTTCAAATCACCCAAATAAAAAGATCACTATCGAATAACAATCATAAATACCCCCCGAAATATGAGTCAAAACAAAAAACCGAACGTCTTCAATTATAGACGTTTTAAACTAGCTAAAAAATTCTCTATTAGTTTACCTAAAAGAGCAATTTTCAGCTGGTTTAAACCGTCTATAATTGAAGACTTTCGGAATTTTTGCTTTGACTCTTTTTTTGCGGAGTATTTATGACCTTTTTATTCAATAGTGATTTTTTATCCTATTAAAATGATTCCAAGTGAAGGATTTCTGAAGAAATATGGGTCTCCAAAATAAGCCTAAGTACACCCTACCCTGACTACCATTTCACTGAAAACAAAAACAAATGCACATCAAATTGGTCGAAACTTGGAGCATCGGCAAACAATGATTCACTTGCATTATACCACTCATGTCGGTTGTATGAGCAAATGTTTGCTACAGCCAAAACCTCGCTAAGTTCAATTCTGCAATAGCTTTTTAGTTACTTGAAGTTTTCAAGCTATTTATTCGGTAACCAACAATAATTTTCGAATTTTTGATTAGAATTAAGTTTTATATTGATCTTAAAAAACTTTTTAGCAATTTTAGTACTGTCGGATGCAATTTTGAAACAATGAGTTTTACATCATTTAACGTAACGGTTGACTTTTATATCACTAACACAATCATTTAGCGGCTAAGAAGTTTGGCCGCTTTAAAATTCCTAATTAATGACTAATAAATCATTAAACCTAGAATTTATGTAGATTCTTTTCTAAGTTGTTAAAACCCATCGTATTTAGGTCCTTTCATCGAGTGGTAAGATAGTTCATTTTTTAGTTATTATCAGCTTAAACTACATTTTTCATCTATCGGAAAAAGTAACGAGGTAACATTTGAAATTCTTTTTCAGGCAACTCCTTTATTACATTGCAGGCCCCCACAAATTAACTCTTTGCTTGATTTGAGCAGTCGACCTCGTGATTAAAAGGTCGACTGTTTTACACCTTATCGCTATTGCACTTTATTGAGACTATATTTTTTGTTTATTTTAACAGGGAACACAATTCAATTGTGTATAAATTATAATTAAACAGTAACAATCAATGTATTTGAAAGGATCTAAAACACATTGAAATGAGAAATCAAGCAAGACACTCATTTAAACCAGATACAGCTGGTAGATCAGTGGAAAGTGCGTTTCTTTCTCAATCTTACAGTCGTTGCTCTGATTCTTTCGCATGGCAAATTTATTAACAGGGACCTACTCTTGAAATCAATTTTTCAATTTTTTCAAATTCGACTTTAATACCACCTCCTATACTGTCACTACAGCCCGTCTTCGATAAGGCAAAGATTTTGCAAATTGTTTTTAATCAATTTCCCTTATTTGGCAACCTAAGTTTGATTTAAACAAAATCCTTGCATCAGATTTTTTTTGTGGAGAAATTTTATTTTTCTAAAATAATTCCTCTATTTTATAAAGTTCAGAGACTTTAGAATTTCAGCTGATCACCAAACCCACCATCGGCAAAATATTTTTTCAGCCATTACTCAACTGCTGTGACGAATGTTGTTGAACTTCCCGGTGAAATAAACAATTGTTTAAAAGTTAAACCTACTCGAACGCAAGCTTTTCGATACGATTGATTTATATACAAGATGAGCTTTGATTTATGTTAACAGTCAATATGGCTTCCGTTAATTTCTTAGCACTTGAGTCTGAGTCCCACCCTTTGAAAACTACAATTGAGAAATGGAAGCAAATGAGGATGAAACTAATTTGAAAAATAATAATATAATTCTTACCTCCTCCTCTGCTTCCTCCCTGAAACAGAAAAGAACAAGTCAAGACCCCACCCATGTTTTAGACACTATGGCACTAATTTTGACTGCGTTCAAATTCATAGTAAAAGTTCAAAAAGTTCGAATTTGATCCACTTTCATATTCTGAGAACGCACTAAAATTCACTATGCGCTTACAAAAAAAGCCTAGTAAACCAAAACAAAAGTATTGAAAAATTAACTCACCCGTCCTCCAAAATCTCTTTGCTGTCCCCCTCCTCCCCTTCGATCTCCGCCACCGCCTCTCATTCCCCCACCTCCTCTTTGACCTCCGTCAAATCCACCCCCTCCCCTCTGCCCCCCTCGTCCCATACCGCCACCACATCTCCCTCCCATACCACCGCCGCGGTGGCCTCCAAATCCACCACCTCCGTTTCTATCTCTGTCGCCGCCTCCTCCATTGCTGTCCCTTCCGCCTCTGTGACCACCACGAAAACTGAAAAACACGCAGATGGCCTTAATTTTTTTCATCTGGAGATTGACCAAGGTCATCTTGGCAAACTAAATATCTTAAAACACTTATTTCTTGGGCAATAAAAGAAACTACAATTTAGACAAACGCAGACTGTCGCTGCGAATTAGACAAACGCAGACAAACCACAGTTATCTAAAACAGGACATTTTTTACACAGAGGTGAAACTTAGCTTCGCACCACTTGCAAGCAAAAACACACATCAAAAAAGAAATTCCTGTAGTGCCGACAAAAATAAAACAAGGATAGCCGGTTACTGTGCAAGTAGAACAGAATGTTCCGACCATAGTCTTTAGAAAACTACGGTTTAGAAAGTTTTTTTTCCAAATTAGTGTAGGTTTTTCTGCTTGGTGTGAAAAAGTATTACAAGTATCTGACTAATATTATTTAGGCATATCAGACAGTCATAGTAATATAGGCAAATTGAACAAAATGTTTGTGGAAAAATGATTAGAAATTTTTTTCAACAAATTTTGCAGCAAGTTTTTGCTTTTTTGAAAACTTGGTTCCCAAAATGAAGCTAAAAGACTCCATAACTAGTTTTACTTGCTGAAAATTAAATTTGAGGTCTTAAATTAGACATAATTCAGCTGTTGTAAGCCTGCTCGCCTGCTTTACTTGCTCGAATTTAGACGAAACATCAAAAACTTCAAGTCGGTTTTTCTCGACACTGGGAAAAATTTTTGGAAACTTTTTAATGTGGTTCGAATCACGACTGGAAGGGCTTTAATATGATATATCACTCAACCCATTCCGATGATTATTTGCGGTACTGATTTTTCGTGGAAAACAAAAGGAAAAAAACTAAAACACACCCGAATACAAAGTCCCTCCCCATTTTTCAATGGTCGGAACCAATAAAAAGCAAACCGTTTTTTCTTGACACTGGGAAAAAAAATTTTACAATGTGATTCGACTTACGTAGAAAAGGCTTTAATATGACATATTAATCGACACATTATGGTGATTAATTATGATACCTGATTTGCGCTGAAAACAAAAAAGTAAAACACACCCGAAAACAAACTTCGCCCACATTTTTAATGCTCGAATATCAAGGATCGCCGGGTAGTATGCAATCAGCAACGAATATTCCGACCGACCAGTCAAAAAAGCTACTGTTTTTGTTTTAATTTCATCAAACATTTTGTTTTTTCTTGTGCGGTGTGTTGAGAGAACTAACGCCCGCGTAAAAAGTTATTGAATTAAGAACTATCGTCGAAATTTGTCTTCGAAAAAAGAAAAAAAATGCGGAAAATTTTTTTTAAAGAAAATTTTCTGTAAAAAATGAAAGACAACACATGAAAGGGGACTCTTTTTTATTTTGAAAAACTTTTTATTGCCACGGAAGCGCTAAATGAAGCTTCGGATACTTTTTTGAAAGCTTAAACAAAACCATTCTGAGTTATTCAACAGAGATGAAGCTGCACTTCGCAAACACAAGCAAGAAAAAGACAAAAAGTGCCTCTAAAAAGTGAAATAAGAAAAGGTTAAAATAAGCCTTGAATAATGAATTTTTGCTATGCGTCGGAATCCAACCTGAACCTTTAGTATTGGACTCTCGCGTCCTCGCATCTGCGCCACAATCCTTTGACAAGTTCCCACAGTTTATTTATTGTATTGTTGTATGATATAAAGAGCTTTTTCGGTTCGTGTGATGAATTTAAAGGCATCAACTGTTTTATCATTTTATAACTAATCGAATGTCAAAGCTATTAAACTGCTAAAGCAACTTGCTTCAAAAGTGCCACCTACAATAGCACTACGCTTGGCTTGTGTAATGGCACCTCGAAAAGCCTAACTAGCAAAATTGAAACAAAAAGAAAAATTTTCAAACTGGTTTTTCTCGACACTCAGAAGACTTTTACAAAATTTTTCTACCATCTATCGATTCGGTACTCAAAGGGGTTTCTATGATATAAATTTCTGATGAATATTTTTGGTACCTGATTTTTCAAATAAAAAATTAAACCACATCTGAAGACGATGTTCCTCCTCACTTCCAGCACTCGGAACAAAAACTTGACGAAAACTCGGGCAATAACTGCTTACTTAGATAACAAGATACAAACCAACGTACAGTAACACAAACAGTGAGAGAATATAGAAAACAAATAATGCCACAGAGCCAATTTCCTGGAACTTCCACTTCTAGTTCGATATATCGTAAACATGCCTGTTTCCTCCGCCGAACTGGCTAGCTCCTCCCATCATCCGATCTCCTCCCCCTCCTCGACCGCCACCTCTGCCCCCTCCTCCCATTCCACCTCCTCGGCGCATGGGTCCTCCACCCTGGGTCATAGGAGAAAAGCCGGACTGCTCAATCAACTATAACACAAATACAGAAGCTGCTGATCAGAACAGATCAGCATTTCTTGCAAGCGTATCAAGAATAGTCGTCAGACTAACTTAGTTTAATCAACTCAATGGAGAAACTGAATATGATCATAAAAAATCAAAGTCAACTAGTTTAAACAGGAAATATAACAAGACTGCTCGTATCAGGGCGAAGCCCTGAATGTTCCGACTGCCTTTTAAGGTTTATGGAGCAGCAGTAATAACATTAAAAATTTAATTGAAATAAATAAAAATGAAAATTTTTTTCTAAAATTTGAAATTTTTTATGAAAATCATCCCCCCACACGCCATATAAAATACAAAAAGATAAATTTCGTTCCTTGTAACAAATCAATTATGGCAAATAAGCTTCGTTCAACCAATTTGGAACGATTTATAAGACGGATTAAATCTCCGCTTACGCGTTAATAGCGCGAATTATATCGCGCGTTAATTGTTCCAAATTGGTCAAAATGGCAATCTTTAAACCCTCATAACTTAACGAAAAATGATCACAGGTGAAATATCTTTTCAAATTTAAGCTCAGGACAACAGTACCTTTCGAATGATAAAAAAAAATTCCGTCAAAAATGGCTAGTTAAAAAGTCGAAATTTGTCTGAAGAAAAAAAAAACCCACCCCGAGCACAAATATTCCGTTACTTTCGTATCGAAAGTCAGAACAAAAACAGGAAATATAAAAACAGTAAATGTGAAAACAGGAAATATGAATAGTTCTTACATCGTTGAAGCACTTGGTGATTGCAGCAACTGCTTTGGCCATGTTTTCATATGCCTGCTGTGGGAATGCAAATGTCTCCAGGTGTACGTGCAGGTCCTGGCACAAGTGGGCGTACTTCGGATCCCCACTGTTCAGAAGACTGCTTTCCTAAACACACGCCACTTCATATTCTCCTTCAGATACCCAAGTTCATATTCTTCAATGTCAAAAACGATCCTATCACCATCTCTGTGCTCCTAAAGAGTTACTACATTTTACTTACAGTGCAACAAAAACTAACTGTAGACTTAACAACAAAAAAAAATACTTCATCTCATTATTGACGCCATATTGATTGATCATTCTTTTGAATAGCATCATAAAAAAGTCGAAACATAAAAGTCTATGAGAATTAGAAAGATTTTAAAGTACCTTTTCTCTGTTGTTGATTGATCCACGTCCGAATATCATGATTTTGCACTTTGTCTCTTCCTTCAACTTCAGGATATTTTCTCCACTTTTTCCGATTATATTACCGCCAAAATTCAGATTCGGATACATGTTAAGAGGCATCGCAATCTTCTGCATCAGCCTGATTTTGTGTTCATATGGGTTTGCCATCATGGGTTCTGGGAATCTATGCTCTCGCGGGTTAGATTCGTTACGAAGACGCTCTATTTCTGTAACACGAAACAAAATCCAATCCTTAACGAAAAAATTATACATTACGACCGTTTTTCATCTAACTCTTTCATGTAAAACAACCAATGAACTTCGTAACAGTAAAAAAAAAATAATAAGAAATAAATACTAAGATATGTAAATAAGTTGAATAAAAAAATGGAAAGTAGAGCCGAGTTCTGATTTCATTTAAATTGCTTCGGCAACATCGAATAAAAGTCGTATTAATTTTCCTCTGTCTTCTTAATAAAATGAGCTCACTTTAAATAAAAAATATTCATGTTAACATGCCCCACCGAGCTGACCAGGGCAAATAGACCAAAGCGTTTTATCAATTATTTAATTCGGCACTGAGCTGCCCAGCGATATGCGAAATACAACTGACTCCGTTTGCCTTACAAGGATAGCCGACTGCCTCGCAAATAGCACAGATAAGTCCGACCTCAAATTGCAAATTGTGATGTTTTTTGTTCGTTCAGTTATGAGAACTTAATGAGTCACACTCACCCTCGAAACACAAACACGCATAATTTTCTTTGTTTGCCAAATGCAAATATGAGGTCACTGAGCTGATATAATAGAGGTCGAAACCTATTGAGCCGGAAAAAAATACATAAAACGGAAAATTCAAAAAAAAATTGAGACTAATAAAAAGTTATAAGGTCAACCTCGCCCTCAAAAGACGCACAATTAGAAAGCGTTTTTTTCGCTAGTCGAAAGACGCAATATGGGACACTTAAGCCGATTTTATACAGACCGAAACCTATCAGGTGAAACAAAAAGGAAAAACATAGCCAACTGACTGGAAAAGAGTAATGAACGCAAGGAAACTGAAAAAAAAAAAACCGATTAGTTTTTCAAAAAATCTTCAACTTTTGAATTTCAAATAGAAAATTAGATGGCCTGAAAGCTCTTTGAATTTGCAAAACAATTTATGATGCATACTTTTTTGTAAAAATTAACTCAATTTGAGAACAATGGATCAATAGGTAAAACTTTCATTTCGCTGGGACATCTGATAATTAACTTCCATTTTCAAAATAGAATTCGATTACGTTTTTCGTGACCTTAACAATTTTGCTGTTCGATAGTGCAGTTTCCCTTCCTTTTAAGAATATAAATGCAGTGAACTTAAAAAGAAATCATGCGAGTAATCAAAATTGAGCGTGAACAAATTTTAAGACTTTTTCCTGAAAAAAAAAAACAAAAAAACCAGCAAGACCTTAAGAAGAGTCTTCACTACGTTCATTACTCTTAAAAATTCGAAAAAAAAGTTAAAATAAGTCTCAAATTAGTAAAAATTCGGCGACGTCTCGGAATAGAACCTACGACCTAGAAAAATTCAGTCTCACGCACTAACCACTCAGCCACGGATGCTTAGTCCATCACAAACACTAGCCACAAATGAAGCCCAGAACAGATGCTATGAAGTTTCGAATGTTACAAATTATGATTATAACAAAAAGGCACAGAAGTGAACAATTTTAATGAACACTTTTATTTGCGAGTTAGGTTAGAAAAAAAGAAGGTTCGTACTAAAACACTGGCTGCTCGTTGGCCTACAGACGCAATATGAGGCACTTTAGCCAATTTTATACAGGCCGAAAGCTATCAAGCGGAACAAAAAGCCAAATAAAACGTTGTCATAAACAACTATAAATTCTAATAAGATTTTAAGCATTTTGTGTGATCCAGAGTAGAGCACAATAATATGTTTTTCTTGAAACTACACAAAAGTAGGTCACTAAGTCGAAAAAAAAACCAAAATCATTTAGACAGAACATAGTTTTTGAGCAAAAAACAGCAAAAAAATACACGAAATGTAAATTAGTAAAATTACAAATAGCAGAAAAAAACACTGAAAGCAACTACAGTATTACTTTCGTACAGCAGAAAAAAAACGAAATCTACGACGTAGAAACTAAGCCGACAAAACATAGGCAGGCAAATAACAAGCCAAAAATTTTTTGAAATGGAATGTTTCCCGTCTGAAAGTCCAATCAGAGTCGAATTCAACTCTCAATAATTAAAAAATTAACCTAAAAACAAACGAAAAAATTTGAAGCTTCTGAACTAAATTCCCTAACAAATTTTTGATGTTTTGATGTCTTAATTTCGATTTATAGGCCTTCTCGCTCGCTTTATTCTCCGAACTGAAACAAAACTTTAAATTTTTCTATACAATGAGGCACTTTTTTTGGAGATTTTTAGAAGACGTGTTCGAATCACGACTGCAAGCGCTTTGATATGATATACCACTTGACACCTTCCGAAGACTTGTGGTGGCACCTAACTTTTCCTGGAAAACATAAAAAATAAAACCAAAAAAAAATGAAATTTGCCTGGAAAACAAAAAATAAAACACGAAAAAAAAGGAAACTTGCCTGGAAAACAAAAAAACACGAAAAAAATAAATTTGCCTGGAAAACAAAAAAAATTAAAACACAAATTCAAAAAATGAAAACTAAAACACCCGAATACAAAGCTCCTCCCCACTTTCAGTGGTCCGAGCAAAAAAAGCCACTCACAACCAAAAGATCTGGTTTTCCGTATCCCCCCGAGGCCGTAAAAAAATTAAAACACAAATTCAAAAAATGAAAACTAAAACACCCGAATACAAAGCTCCTCCCCACTTTCAGTGGTCCGAGCAAAAAAAGCCACTCACAACCAAAAGATCTGGTTTTCCGTATCCTCTAAAAAAATTAAAACACAAATTCAAAAAATGAAAACTAAAACACCCGAATACAAAGCTCCTCCCCACTTTCAGTGGTCCGAGCAAAAAAAGCCACTCACAACCAAAAGATCTGGTTTTCCGTATCCTCTAGAAAACCTCGGGGGGAAGAATTTAGCAAAGGCTGTTACCGTACTGCCAAAATATCATACCAATATCTAAAAGAGCTGACGCTTGTGGACACATGCTCGGGTCCAGACTCTGTTTCTCAAAAATCAGCTGGCCCAGATAGGGACTCTCTGGCATCTGTGCACTCGGAGGCACCATCACCCCTGGATCCATCTGTTGACCATCGTTGTAAATCATACCACCCTGTTGGTAGTCATCAGGCAGGATTCCGCCTTCGGGTTGGATGTTTCCGTTGCCGTAATAGGGGTCTTGCTCTGCTCCGTAGGGATCCTGAAGAATGCCTTGATCTCCACCTTGATCCGGAAGACTGTAAGGATCTATGCTGTATTGCACATTCATTACTACCTGAAATTAAATTTTTTAATTCTATCTTTTACAAGCATAACAAGGTTGGTTTATTAACCCCGCATCCGAGTTACAAACCCGTCTCTACTAGTTTTCGTGAACCTACTCTTTCGACATTAATTTATGGCCGCCCAACGCTAACGAAATCGAATAGACGTCAATATATATTCTTAATTAAGGCGGGGAGACGCAAAATAACTCAGGTCGAAACTTTTCAAAAGACGCAACTAATTTGATCAAAAATTGCCGTTAAGCCATGAGGGAATCATTAAATTATTTCAGAAGATACATTTGAGGAGAAAAAGATCAGTGATGATACTAATAGCTCCTCCAATCAAAACAGAGGTCTACCAAACCGGCGCAATAATTACCATCAGATTAAACATTCAAATTCAAATTCTTATTTTAAAAACAGTTCAACTGCTATGGAATAATATTTCTAAAAAATTTTGGCTTGGTTAAAAGATCCATTGTTGAGTGTCTAAATTGAGTGCTGCACATAATTGACCAGAGGATTAAATCCATCAAGATGATATCGCAGCTCCATGACATTACTTTGAGTAACTATAAAATCCTTCTCCACTTTTCTTTTGCGGCCTAATTTACCCTCGGTCGCTAATTTCTTCATAGTATCAGGAACTCTGAAGCTAGGGTTGTCTGGATAACTTTCACTCCATCCCTGCAAAACGGCAACACAAGTATCAAGTCCGACATAGTCCAACAATTCGAATGGACCCATTGGGTAGCCTGCTCCTAGCTTCATAGCCGTGTCGATGTCTTTCATTTCTGCATCGCCTCTTTCAAGCATTCTGACCGCTTCTGCTAAGTAGGGGACAAGCAATCTGTTTACAATGAACCCGGGCGTATCTTTGCACTAAAACAAGCTTACTTTCCGTCAATATCACTAAAATTACTTTAAGTTCGTTTAAGTTAGTGGATCAGTCGCAAAACAGAAAAAAAACACAATTTGATAGTCTCAAACATATATACCACCAAAATTTTCCACCAATTTTTCTCTCAATTTAAAAATTGATTTAATATAAATCAGTATTCTTCCGACCAACTATTGATAACGTAAAATATCATTATTTTAATGCAAAATCAGGTGTCACAAATATTTATCATTATGAATTGAGTGATGTACCATATAAAACGCTTTCAGTCGTGATTCTAACGACATGATAAAACCACAGTCTTCTCAGTGTCGAGAAAAACCGGTTTGAAATTTTTGATTTTTAGCCTAATTACGAGCTAACACAGCGAGCGATCAGTTTAAATGGTGAAAACTTATTATTCCGTTTAAATCGTGAAAACTTAGTTTCACTACAGTAAAGTTAGATTTCGAAACTCTTGTAGAGCGTTCTTTGGACTAAAAGAAAAGTTTCAGCCTAAATTTTTTTTGGTTTATAATTTCTATGTTTGAGGAAAACTGTTTTCAAACGTACCTACGCTACAAATATAATCTAACTTCTAAGCTTCCGTTTTGATCATCAAACCACGAAGAAAAAACCACACAATTATAAAAAAAAACTGTTTTTTTTTGTTTCATTTTTTGTGGTCGGAACTTTCTCTGCTACATGCACAGCAAGCGTCTATCCTAGTTAGATTCGATAGTGGTTCATCAAAAATTGTCAAAAAAAAATAATTAGTCAGAACTAACTTTCACAACTGTCTTGTTCATCTCAGTTCCAAAATTGCAGAGCTTCTCAAATGTCTCCTCACTAGTTGATTCAGCTTTCACCACCTCCAAAAGCTTCATCATTGGAACAGGGTTAAAATAATGCAACCCACCAACTAAGCTTTGTCTTTTAACGTGCTTGAAAATTTCTACTACGGGAAGCGATGATGTATTTGTGGCAAAAATCGTTTTCTCAGACGCCGATGCATCTAAAACACTGAATAGTTTGTGTTTCGCGTCCATATTTTCGACAATTGCTTCTATGATTAGATCAGTTTCGGGTCTAACTGCGAAAGTTGACGACTTGTTCGCATCAAACTGCTCTGTATCTATTCTAGAAATTATGGAATCTACAAACTCTGATTGCTCAACTTTATCTTGCTTCTTCGCTACCTTTTCTAGACTTTGTCTTATCCGCTTCTGAGCATCTTCCAAAACCTTCTTTTGCTGATCCACTAACGTCACATTGAAGCCTGACTGAGCAGCAACTTGTGCGATTCCGGATCCCATAAGACCCCCGCCAAATACGGCAACATTCTTTATGCCACTCGGTTGATGGCAGAAGCGACGAGAGATTAATGTGGTCATTTCAACCTTGAAACTAAACAAAAATTGCTGAGAAGAAAAAGTTTTGAAAATAAAGAAGCCTTCCATACAGGGACCTTACACAGTGGCAAGTCGTTCATTTTGAGATATTGAGACGTGAATCACTTAACTTATCATGTGAACCGAAAATTAAAACCCTATTCACAACTATGGAAATCGATAAGCTATTCACAAAGCCGAAAATTAGAAAGTAGTAGTAGTTGTAACAGTCGCCTACTTCGGTCACACATGAGGTTCAAGAAAAATAGGCCCTATAACCATTGGCTCAAGAGTCAGGGACACTATCTCTTGTGTTTTTCTACCTCGAACGGTCGGAGCCAATTCGGTTCGCTTGCGACATGAGACTAAAAACCCGTTACAGCTTAAAGGCCACTACCAAAATACCCCCCAACTCTAGAAAATAAGAACGTCCCCATACTTAGGTCTCAAACTACCAAAAATACACGAACGCCGTTAAAAACAGGGTCGGAACAATCCGCAGAGTTACTTTTTATTAGACAGTGGAACTTGGATCCATTTCAGATGGATCAACCTAAAACTCTCCTTACCTCAACATAACAATCATAAAATACACTCAAGAAAACTAAATTGGGTACTCGCATACCAGCACACTCAAGAATTGGAGTAACTAAATTAATCAGCAACTCTAGCATTAAAGGGAATTAAGTTTTAACTCAAGAAATTTGTAATTAACGAATTCCAGCAAAGGAATTGAGTTTTGACTTGAGAAATAAGTTTTTGGATTGGACCATTGGGATACCCCAGCTGTCCACCTTTCCACTGAGGGTTCACTCTGGTTCAACTCGAATGAATATACTCTTCTTTCGTAATAACTCATTCTCCTCTTTCAGGATAGGACGGCTCTACTCGCGTTTGTTTTGTATCTGGAAATTGCGAATAGCAATTTCCCGCGGCTTTTTTCAAGTACTTTCCCGCGATTGTAAATCGGTTGTTCTGATCTTCTATTTCTGAGATTTTCAGTTTACGCGAGAAAGTTGAGCATGCCAGGCTCAATTCGAGTTTTTGAAAAATTAAATCTCCTCCCAAAATCACGTAGTTTGTATTCCTCAAGGTCAAACTTCCAAATATGACCGACTTGCACATACTCCCCGGACTCAAGATCGATGTCCTCATCGCGTGTTGCCGCCTGCCAGTGAATCTCCAGAATACCGAGTATGGCTCAAGATACAGTGCCAGTGGTCATTTACAGAAGTTTGCAGCAGACTTAAGTTTATCTACATCCCAAAATTCACAACCATATAAAATTGTCACACTATCGCTGAACAGCAATCAAAGTTTTCATATACCTGCACCTTAAATATCCGTTTTTGAAGCTTGTGATTAAAATTTCTTTTGTCCTATCCAATCAAGAAATTGTCATGCATTATTTTGATTTATATAATAACTATAGCATATTAACAACAATACTTTGTTTCGTTAAATTTTATTTTTCGCGACCTCGGATTTCATCCGAGTTCACACTTGAGCCCCTTCCTTTCCCTCTCAAGACTCAAGAAATCCACATTGAACTCCCTGCTCATTTCGTATTCCTAGCCTTTGAAGTGCTAGGACCTGATGAATTTGACACCGTGATCTGCCTCAGTAGCGCTTCCTCATCATCAGAGCTGATCACAATTTCTTCCCATGCTCTCAATTGTTCGAAGGATCGCATCCACTCATTCTGCTCCTGCAACCTCGTTGCCTGATTCGGTAAACCTTTCGTTTTCAATTCCCTGTTCAAGCAAAAGGAATTGTGCAGGCTCAAGCTCACGTTCTTCACCAATTCTTCCTCCAGTATCGACTCTCTTGCTTTGGTATTATCTCTAGACACCCTACCGACTCTTTTCCAACCTGTTGTGATCGCATTTCGATGGGTCAGTGGAGGTCTCTTGAAAGCTTCCGGACCTATCTCCGCCAGGAACTGTCGATATTCCTTTTGGTATTTCTTCATGTGATCCTTCGTCACAATGTACAACCAAGATGTCAACGTCGCTCGAAACCACGGAAATAACCTTATGCGGCTCCATACGTGCCTGACAATCATTGGTATGGCGAATACCTTGCATACAGTCTCAAACAACTCAAGTCTCCTGCTGTAATCTATAGCGTAAATCGATTCCGCCGTAGCTGTCTTCGACTCCCTATACTTCGTTACATTTTCTTCGATCCATCGTAACGCCAACATTGTAGTTACTACCAACATGGTCACCTTCTGCGGATGATCGGGTAACCCGATTGACCGAATTTCTTCTATATCCCACACTAAACAAAGGTTTGAATGCTCCGGGTACCACACTGCTTGTGCCAAGCAATGGCATGGGCATTCCCCATGTGTAATTTCTATGCTTCGGAGATTGCGTTCTCCCGAGACTTCCAGCAGAGGCTCCAGTTCAATCATTTTTTCGTGCATCATAACATCCTCCTCCGGCGCTGGTACACTATTCATCGGCTTCCCGATGGCATTCTGTCTCTCAAAATCGCTCCTGTTTTCGTCTCCTAAACTCAAGAGTTCTTCTCCCCAGATCTCATTCAAGTCATCTCTTTGTGCCCTTGGCACAGTTCCCAGGATATTCCTCAACAGTCTGTGTGAATGATGCGACATTCGAGCCAGCCGTACGCACTTGGGTGCCGAGAAGACCTTATCCACTAGTATCCTTTGGCTGGATACCTCTCCCATTGCCATGTGCAATGGATAATGGCTCCCACATACGTTGGCCATTACTGATCCCACCAAGGATTTTGCATTTACAGGCAGGCCATAAGCTTCGCTCACTGGAAATCCCATCTCCTCCTCTAGACCATTTTTCCATCCTCTGATATGTTTCTGGGTGGTTTGCAACGCCCCTGGCCACGACTCCACGCTCAACGCCGTCACCAAATGGTGTTCAGACTCCAACATCTCCAGTGATTGCAGAATACACATTCTAGAGAAGAACCCCAGCGCCGTTGCTATATTCACTGTAGTGTTCGTATAGCACTCAGCCATTATCTGCACCTCGCTCTTCTCTCTTTCTGTTATGTCAAAAAACCAAGTGACTAGGTCTTCTCCCTGAAAAGATTGTATTCTGACACATGATCGTCCATCACAGGTGTGCCCTCCGCCTCCGCACGTCAAGTCAAGACAGCTATCAGGTTCCAACTTCTTTACTGATCCCAGCTTACTCGTTGCTTTGCCCGACTCTTTACTCTGTGGTAGGGTTAATTTGTGTGTCACGTGCAACGTTCCCAGGTCCTCATCTTTTGTTGGTGTTAGCCTCACTGGTTCCGTGACCTCTTCAATCAAGCTCGCATGGGGATGTGGACACCAGGAAGGTCTCAGCAATTTCCAAACCGTTCCCAAATTCGTAGTCATCATGCCATTTCCGCTTCCCATCCTCAATTCTACTCTTTTGCTCGAGCGCGGCACGCTTATCACCCTTGGTGTCGCCTCAAGTAGCAGGCCCAGGCTCGGTTTCTCCCTTTCCATTGAATCGATTACGATTATCTTCTTCGTCCAAAATTTCAAGAGCTCCGCCACCTCATGATTCCTGTAAGCGCTCGCGGCTTCTGAATTCAAGAAAGGATTGTACGCTATTCCCATCACTCCAGACACGTATTGATACTCTCCCTTTTTAATGGGTCTCGCGTAACACTCAGCCAAGGCTAAGTTGCGATGCACATCATGCCCCTCTTCAAATTTCTTGATGTGGAATCTTCGTATATCATTAAGTTTTCCATGATTTTCTAGGGATTGCCTCGAGTCATCCTCCTTCTCGATCCCCGTACTCTGGTACACGTTCAGTATGACGGTGGAGACTCTTCTCTCCATGGTTTTGCTCCCCATTTCCTTCTGAATACACGCTTGGACGGTGCTATTGGTCATTACGGACATTATCCACCTCATGAAACAAGTGGCATCTTTTCTTCTTGCCAGACTCAGACCGGAGTTGTCTCTCGCGACGTGTTGTACCAGCATCTGGTAGACTTTTAGGTTTTTATTGCCCAATTTCAATTTGTCACATGAAGTCAAGACCTCCAATTCTATTCCCATTAGGCTCCACGCGAACAACATTTGTCCCGCGGTACTGACGAAGGGATTCGCCATCAGAGGCAATGCTGATGAAGCTGTTCTCATCGCCTCCTCAAAATAATCCCGCAACAGGCTCTGTCAAGTTCGCTTTAGCTGACTTCCCAGTTCCAACTTGTTGACTTCGGCTTTCTGTTGAGTAGCCCAATTGCGACGCTTGCGGGACACCCCTTGATCAAGCTTCTTCAGACAGTCCTCCAATTCCTTCATCGTCTCTAGGGCCACCCACCAAGGTCGAGCCGTATTCCTTGTCGCATTCTTCTCAAGAGGGTCGTTGGACACTTGTTTGCCAATAGCTTGATGTTCGCTCGAGATCCATTCTCTGCCCACATCCACTTTCCAGGTTTTTTCTGTTCGTCGAACCCTTTTTCGAGCCTGCCTTCTGAGGTTTGAAGTCTTCCTCCGTTACCAGACTTGTCGAGACCTCTATCGCTTTCACTATTTCGGCTAGCCTCCTTGGTTCGGAGCTACTATTGAAGGCTGCCGTCTTCCACCGCGCTAAGATCATGGGGGCAGTCTCCCTCAAGTTCTTCTCCGAGACAGCATCCACTGACGGGCTGCTCAACTCCTGCATCTCCCGCTTCCTTTTTCCAGACTTCATACCTTTGCTTGGGGTGTCGTCACTATCATCACAGATTCGATCTCTCCGTCCTGGTCCGACCTTTCCAACTCTTGCCTCTCCCTGCTCGAGCCTTAAGGATATTAGTACTTTTAATCATATTACAAGTCTTAATCTTATCCTCCCCTTCAACTTTAATTATTTTATCATCAGTCTTTTTCTTCAGAGTAGAGCCGTCTTTATATTCATCAGCTTTGGTCTTCTGTCGCGTCTCCCTCAACTTGACCATCCTGCTCATCAACTCCTTTCTTGCCTTTTCATCCAGTCCGGTGCCCATCAACACCGGTTCCCCAAACTTGACCACCGTGTTCCACAGTTTTTCCTTGAAGTTATCTAGCGTGGTCTCGCTCTTCGTCTCACGATTAAATTCACTCA